GTGTTTGAGAGAGAGAGAGAGAGTGTGTGTGTGTCTGTCTGTGTGTGTGTGTGTGTGTGTGTGTGTGTGTATGTGTGCGTGCGCACATGAATATTTTGTGGGTCATTATCTCTTCCTCTTTTGCTGACTTATAATACACTAGACAAGTCAATTGTATCATATTACCAAATAATGGGATTTAACTTGTTGGGAAATGACTTTGAAAAATAATTATTTTCACAAAATCTGTGCACTACTGCTAATACAAAAAGACAAAGTGATAAAATGTCAGAATCGCTTATTATATCTTAGTCGACAAATTCCTTTAAAGTTATTTTAAATAACTTGATAAAAATTGGCTTTGAAGTTTAAGGTGTAAAGAAAAATTTTTTTTAACCAATTTGGATGGAAATATAAACACAAAAAACAGAATTCAAATGTCAAATTAACCCTGGCATGTCCAAGGTAACAGACAAACCAAAAACTTGCTGAAAACTGACCCCACCCCACCAGCAAAAATAGGAACCGGAATTGACTACGACTGACATTAAATTACTTAATTATGCTTAAACTTCCAAGTTCTGCAAAGCACTATTGGGCAAGTACAATTCTGTACCACAGACTATTTCTTGACCAAAAAAAAAGTGATGTCATGTTGCCTAGTAACACCAAAGTAGCCACCAATGGGAAAAATGGGGTTGCAAAAATTGATCATCCATGATCTCTTTCAGATCTGGCGCTTTTTAGACCAAAAAACATGAGATTACAATACAAGAATGATCAAAAACAAACTCCTACGCCAGTGGTGGTATAGTATTGTGTACACATGTGGTGCTGTGTTAGTCAGAACATGAGAAGTTGTTAAACTTTTAAAAGGCTTTATAACAAACAAAGAAATTTACAGTACACGGTCAAACCTGCTATAAAGACAATAAAAGACAATCCTGTGCATTTATAACGACAATCACATTATAAATAATAAAGAACCACTTTCCCTTTCCACCTTTCTTGTGTGTATTTTATAATTGGGTCTATTGATTTTGACACTGTAAGTGTAAGACTTTCCACCTCTAGGGTGGTTACTTTTGTCCTCGACAATGGGTGGCCATCTAAACAATTTCAACAGCACTCCTGAGACATTTTGATTTTATATTATTCAAATTGGAGGCGAATCATAAAGCATCTTGAACTAACTAGTCTCCCTGTAAGATACAGGCTTCACCTCCAAAGGTCAGGATCTCTAAAAGAATAGAATACAATTCTTTTTTCAATAAAGCTCATGAAATCATAGCTACCTGGGTATATTATATTGCACATAAAAATACTTTTTTAAACCGTCTCTGATCCTTGAGCAAGTGACAAGCATCTCGTCTTTTTAGAAAGGAAAGACAAACATGCAAAATATTTTAATTTTAGTGTGAGCCGCACACAATGTGAGAAGCCGTGTCAAGACATAAAACTGAATAAAACAAATCAGAAGGCCAGTGAACTATTCTAAAAAATCCTGTCCCATCCAGGGAAGAAAACAAGTTGAACTTTAAGAATCAACCTTGTTGGAGACTGAAGAACATAGAGTCAGGCTTAGAGAGAGAACTATTGAGGGAGAGGGAGGGAGGGAGGAGGGAAGGGGGATGTATAGAAGAGAGAAGGACAAGAAGAAGAAGAAGAAGAAGAAGAAGAAGAAGAAGAAGAAGAAGAAGAAGAAAGGAGAAGAAGAAGACGAAGATTACATTATTCGAGAATTATTGAAAAATACTCTACTTACTTAGAAATGAGTCTGTTATTTTCTCCTTCTGTAAGACATCTCCGAGGAACACATGAACCATGTCATAAAGAACGGCCATCCCCATCTCATTTCGGTTGATCTGTCCATCCTTATCGACATCTTCACCTCCGGCTCCGACACATAAGCTTGACAAACACAATACGAACAGCAGCGTCGACACAAAAACTGCCATGTCAGTTGCAACTATGTCACTGTTACAAAAGTAAAAATCCTGTACTTGTACTCTCGACTTTGTTACTCAACCCAAATATATGCTAGAGAAAAAATCCAAAACTTTTACATTTATTGAGGCCTCTATTCTAGCTCTTTAAAACTACATCTAAATCTAGATATCTAGATCTAAATAGGTAAATTTAATCTGACGAAAGAAACCCTGGGGTTAGATCTAGACTAGATCTGAGTCAAACTCAAACTTCTGGACCTTCCCATAGACTCAAAGACAGACTTTCAGCCCCTGTTGAGAACAACTTATTTACTGATGATCTAATCTAGTCTATCATCATTTAGCCATTTCTAGATTATTACCGTTTAAGACAGTCTAGATCTAAGATAATCTAGATTCTATATCTACCTAAATCTAGATCTAGACTAGATCTAGAAGATCTAGATTAGAATCTATAGAATCTAGATATCTAGCTAGATTTTGATCCATCTAGAATCTAGATTCTAGTCTAGATTTTTAGAGAACAAAGATCAAGGCATGATTGAGATTTGAAAAAAAATTTAATGTCTCGGTGTTGCCTTACACGCCCAACCAAAACTTTACTCGTCCTGTTTTGTAAAGATGGGAATCGAGTGGACCTTATTATGCCTTACGGTTAGACACTACTAACAACAACCTACACACAGGTAGACTACAAATCTAGAACACAGCGAGAACAGTGAACAAACATGGAACATCTGGGCCAAAGGTATAGATTTCAACCTACAAGACTCTAGATCTAGATCTAGATATAGATATTGACTGGACCGAATCTAAATCTTGGCAGCAACACGAACTCGTGCCCAAACCTAGGCGCTTTATCACGAATATCTCCCTTTTGAAAAAGAACAACCACAGTACAGCGGTCTACTCCACTTGTTTCGCACAGCTGAGTGGTTGCGTTCACTGCTCGACGAAGTTACTTCAAAAACTAAAAATACATGAGAGCGTCACGACTTTTGAATAGCCTAGGCACCCCTCCCTCTCTGCCTAATGTCGCACTGATAACTCCAACACTTTCCACAGCAACCCAAGCGAGGGTGCACAGCTGACCTCGTATCGAACAAAAGCTGGTGTGTGTTTGTTGTTGCCTGCCACTTCACTTTGTCGCCTTTCGCACGCATCCCTGTCCGTCATCTCTGTGCCTGTGTCTTCCGGCGTTGATGGTGTGACGTCACCAACCCCGCCACACCTTGGTCCGAGTCCGAGGGAAACAGGACGCGCACAAAGCCTGGATCTGACTAGGCCTAATAATTAATACATTAGATGTGCACTATCTTATACAAGCTGTCATAACTTTACTTCTCACTCACTTCTAGGCCGTAGTCTCGTTATCTTAGACCAGTTTTCTCCCTTTCTTAGTTTGCTTCTTTAGAAACCGCTAGCTTTCGACTCTACATTCGACCTACCATTTATATAGGCTGTTCTTATATAATTATTATTTTTTTTACTCTACCTCGTAGGTAATGTTGGGTGTGCGGACATTTTAGAACTAAGAATGAAATTTCTTAATTATATTAGCGTGGAGACGTAACTATGTTTTACGTTTTCGAAGTATGTCCATTCACCTTTGACTTTCAAAATGGCATGAGTACTGACTTTTCCTCTTGCACTTGCAGCCCCAGCGTGAAATGCAATGTAGTTCAAGTACATGTGCTTATATTATCTCTCTCTCTCTCTCTCTCTCGCTCTCTCTCTCTCTCTCTCTCTCTCTCTCGCTCTCTCTCTCTCTCTCTCTCTTTCTCTCTCACACGCACG